TTCCAAAGCATCAAAAGATAAGACAAGAAACAATGGATGGAAACTAATCAGAGAGAGAAGTAACTTAGAATTAAGGAGAAATTTCCGAACAGTGAGAGAAATCAAATAGCTTGCTTTTAGAAGTTGTGGTTGCTCCATCACTGGGGGCTTTCAAAAAGAGACTGGGCAACCATTTGTCTGAAATGGTGTATAGAGTTTCCTGCTTGAGTAGGGGGTTGGACTAGAAAACCTTCAAGGTCCCTTCCAACTCTATTATTCTATGTTCTAAATGAGGCGAGGTCCATATAAAACTGCAAAGCTATAGAACAGATCTGTACATCCATTGACATTATAGTAGCTACTTTGGGAATCTGTAGACAATGCAAACCATGGAGGATTAACAATGAAGATTGGTTTTATATCATGGTTCGATCACCCTTTTAATTTATAGCTGGAAAGAAAGTTACTGGAACTAGATCAACAATAAACAGTATATTTACTTTTTATCCACTTTATTATTTTCACTGCACAATTTCTAATTTTACAATGTATCAAATTTGCTGGAGTTTTATATGTATCATTTATACACAAGATCCTATTCTGGATGTACCAGAAAAATAAAACCAGACTATACTACACCATTTTTCAGATTATTCTAGTCTACCTTTTCTATTGATTTTCTGGGCCGTTCAGGTACCAAGTGTGTTCTTTCCTCATTAAGTTACTTGGGTGGTAGGTTTCACCACAATAAATTATGAAATAGTGTAGATGTGCTATAGTATATGAATGTCAATTAATTCTTATGCACATTTAAATAAAAGGAATTCATTTTAATTAAAAAGGAATAGCCAGTTTTGTAACATACAGTTTTTCCTGTTGACATGTTTAAAATTTGAGGACTGCATACTTGCTGGCAACTCAAGTGGGTTCACGCTTTAGCCCTCTTTCCTTGCATCACACAATCACCTACATATTGGAGATGCCATTCGGAAGTCTTCTCATTTGTTGCAAAAGAGACTAACATATCCTGGATTTACCATTTTTTTATTCATGGACCAGGAAAAGAAAATATCTGCAGTATTGTAGTTGGCATCAATTTTATTGCAGTCAAATGAGAACATACTTTTTGTTCACCTTGTGACTTTCCCAAGTGACACTGAGAGGAAAAAACCAAAAGTGCTAGGATAAAAATGTTCAGAGAAATCCTGTTTCTATGGCTCCTCCCTTCTCTTTTAGCAGCAGGAAGGAAAGATTTAACCAAAAAGTTATCTTACATTTGTAGCTTAAACTAATCCCTTTGACACCCAACTGCTGATGGGGTTAGGTATTTCCACATTAATTCCCCTCACCCCAATAGCTCAGTTAAGTGTGCCCTACTAGTATATTCTCACATTGTTTTTTTAATCAGGGTTATCCGCTTTCCCTTTTCAACCCCAACCCAGGAGCCTTCACATACAGTTACTTTTGCAACAAACTATTTTGTGTTTAAGTTTTACTGACAAAGAAATAAAGGGAGACTAGTATAGATCTATTTCAAGCTATTTATGATGAAAGCTAAATAGTTTGAAATAGATCTATACTAGTCTCCCTTTCTTTATTTTTTGACAATAAAACATAAATTCAACACAAAAATATATTCTCACATGTATTTTCTTCATAAGCAGGTCTCCCTGAGTTGGAACATCTTCACAGATAACTGTGTTTAGAATGACAGGTTTCCATCAATGACATGGTAAAAATGGATTGAAAAAAATTACCCAGAAGCAAAGATGTTGCTAAGACAAAATCTTTACTCTCATAAATTATCTACTTGTTGCTCTAAGGAAGGCCTGCCATCTAGTGGAACTAATACATACTGTAGATACATGTTATTGAACAAAATGCTTTTCTTGTTGAACTAAGGCTTGTCTTCCTCCTGAATTATAACCTTTTTTATATAGTGTTCAAGTGTTAAAAAGTAACTTATGTAATGCAATTACATAGCTCATCAAAATGAAAAATAGGCAAACACTGAATGAGAGTTTGATACATGCATTTTAGCTAGCATTATAAGACAACTCTGAAGAAATAAGTACTATTCATTTTAGAGAAGATAGCAGAAAATTATATAAACATTTGAAATACTAATATATGATTGCACCCAGTCATGAAAATCTGTGTTTTCAGAGTGTTGTATCATTGGATATTTTCAATAACACTATGTAGGACTAAAATGTGCTTGGTAAATTGTATTTATCTGAAGGAATTGATCCATTTGGGCTTACTGATTGTAGGCAACTTATGTAAACACGTGTATTGAAAGACAACTGGGGATGTGCTTTTGCTATATAATGCAGGAATGTTTTAGTTTGAAAATGGGCTCAAAGGTTGTATTTAACTGTGCAGTTATAACTATTAGCAGATTACATTAGAACAAGATACAAAAAATGCTTTAATATTCTGTAAAATAATCTCCTGTAAAGATTATTTTAATCCCAACACTTCTTTTTCAAATAACTGCATTATTTATTTAGCTTTATAAAAGCAATTATTTACAGATACTTGTGTATGTTTGACAAATAAAAAGTTAAGAGAAAGTTGATTTTGAAATAAAGAAATATCTTATGGCAATTATTTCAATATGAATAATTGAGTTGACAATTAGTCAAACAATATGATTTGACATATTGTTCTAGAAGAAAATGTAGAACTATATAAATTAGAAAGTGTTTGCATGATTTTTTTTCATAATTTCTGCTTTAGTTCAAATCTTGCATATTGTAGTTCATATTGACCGGTTCTCTTCTTCCATATTTGTTATTATTGTCATCTTGTCAATAAATGTACATTATATATTCCTGCGACGTGTGCTCCTCCACCTAGCCAGCTGTGACCTTTAACAGGGTGTGGTATTCCCCCATTGCCAATTCCAGTTTGTTGGAATGATTAAGTAGCAAGGAATTCTCACTGGATTTCAGTTGTGAGTACAACTCACTGTTATATAGGCTGAGTACCCTTCACCCAAAACCTCTATACAGAGAGTTCTATGGAATTCCCACCTATTTTCTTTAGCCTTTTAATTTCAGAGGCCAGATTTTGATGTACAGTTCACAATCACAACTCAAATCATGAGATTTATTTATGTCCCTTCACTTGATACTGGGACACAATTACAAAGAGCTGGGGCTTACAATGTAATACTGCAATCCACTACAAGTTTCATCATTTTTTGCCGATGTCAACCACTTTTAGTTGAGGGTCACACAGTATTCTAAACCGCTGTTTAACCATAATGTGTTGAATGGACCACACATATTTTCACAACATACTAAACCATGACTTATGGTTCAAAACCTGTATCTGGGTTTACACAAGCTAAACCAAATCAAACCATTTTTATGATTTAGTTATAGAGAAAAACAGTTTATAGTTATGACTGCATAGTACATGAGTTCACAATTAAGGGTTAATCAGTGTTCACTATTAGTTTAGTTCCAGCTCAATTGTGTGAATGGCTTAATAATTAACACCGGAAGCTTATTTGTGAGGTAGACAAACCTGGAACATTTACCACGTGTTGAAAAATTCGAAATCAAGGCTTAGTGTAATGGGCATATGGATTAGAAATTAAGTAACAGTTTTCTATTCCATTTTTCATTATCGGCTTCTCCCTTTACACAGGGAAGCTAACCATTAAAAGGCCCACTGAGACAGAAGGCAGATGCAGTTCATGCACTGAGCTAAGGTATAATATGATTTATTTAATTTTGGCTTGGCATGAGATAAGGATTCACTCATGCTTCCCTATTTTCTGAAGCAGTTGACAGTGCATCAGTTGTATCAGTTATCAAATTCAAAGAGAAAATGGTTCAGTGATGAAAGATTCACTTTTTAATTCATGTTCATAGTAACTATATGGTAGGTGACAAGATTACATTTAGCACAGAGTAGATCTGGAGGGACCCAAAAATTGTTTTCCTGTGGAGCTATTCCTAGACAGAAGAACATAGAACTATTCAAAAAAAGATGATTTCCACTTTCCTCAAATGAACTTCCCAAATGCCATGGCTATATTATTTGTAAACCAAAAGTTCTGAAGGACAGAGAATTATCCTGTGTCAGGATCTTGCTATTGAAGTTTTGAGCCAAAATCTTTGTCCTGCATCACTACACCCGAGAGTGGCCTGAATTAAGGACGCCAAAATATTCTCCACCAGCAGGGAATTTCTTCATCAAAAGATAGGAGATATAGAGTGCTTTAGGGGATGTTTCCTTAGGTTTGATTAATTTTCCTGGTGAAAACCAATCAAAGACAGAAGCAACTTAGAACGAAGAAGAAATTGCTTAACAGTGAGAAGTTAACCAGTGGAACAGCTTGCCTTCAGAAGTAGTGGGTGCTTCATCACTGGAGGCTTTTAAGAAGACACTGGACAGCCACTTGTCTGAAACGGTATAGGGTCTCCTGCTTGAGTAGTGGGTTGGACTAGAAGATCTCCAGGGTCCCTTTCCAACTCTGTTGTTCTGCATGTTTATATGTCCATGAATACTAGTGTAATAAAATCTGTTTCAGTTTAAGCTGTAGGGGAGTAGTACCATGCATTAGATTAACCTTTGCCACGTTTAAGGCCTATAAGACATTTCAAAAAAATAAATATCAGCAGCAGGCAGTGGTCGCAAACTCAGTGGAGACGCAACCCATCCCAAGTCCCGATTTTTATTCCCAGTAAGAGATAGGATTGAGGGAAAGCAGCCTCTCCTCCGCCTAACCGCGGTAAACACTCCGCCCCAACACACCTGCCCAAGACAACCGGCCAGTTCAGAGAAGGGGCAGCTTCCGCGGCACGAGACTTCTCAGCTGGATTCCCGGTTTTGCCACGTGTGAATGTGCAGGTGTGAAGAAAGGGGGAAAAAAACAACAACAGAGGCAAGGGCAGAGCGACAGCAAATAAGGCGAATCAAGCGTCGGAGCCGCCGCCTTCTCGTCCTCCCTCCGCGGCTGACGGGATCCGAGCGCGACGGGGAGGAGCCACCGGCTGCTTCTCCTCTGACCAGGCAACCAGCGAGGGAAGGGAAAAAGTCGGAAGGAGCGCACGGAGAATCGTTTTGTATGGGCGCGAAAGATGGCGGGACGGTGCCGGGGACGATGGGCTCCCAGGACGTGCTCAGGGATACCGCCAAGCTGGCTTCTTCCAACGCCCTCTTGCAGGTACCCGTCCCAGAAGATGGGAAGGCGGGGATGGAGATCAGAGGGCGCGCAAGCAGCAGCCTTTCGCTCCCTTATGCGGCCTTTTCTGCCGGCTTCTCCTTCCTCGAACTGGCTCTTTCCAAGGAGAGATGGTGAATCTCAAGCTCCCGTTTCAGTGGAGAGAAGCCGAACGTGCCCAGACACGTCAATAAGCTGCTGGCGGAGCCGGGAGGCAAAGTAACTTCAATAGGCAGAAATCAGTGGACTTTCAAACATTAATTGATCATAGCATATGTGACCGAAGTCTTTCCCTCAAGTTCTGTGGTTCGCGAATCATAAGAGTCCAAATGTTGGAATCGACACTCCAAATTGTTGCAACAGCAGATTGCTGCAACCTGCTCTCCACTGCAGGAATCCCCTGCTCCAGCATCCCAGATAGGTGGCTGTCCCAACCTCTGTTTAAACACTGCCAGGGCCCTGTTCCATTGTTGAACAGCTCTTCAAGAAATTTTCTTGATGCTCAAGCTGAAACCTACTTTTGTAATCTAAACCTAGTGTTTCTTGCATCCTGGAACAACTCTGAACAGTTCTGCCCTGTCTTCTATGGGACAGCCCTTGAGAGACTTGAAAAATAGATATTATGCCTTCCCAGAATATATTATTTTCTTCAGGATAAACATATTCAGCACTCCCCCACTGCTCCAGGACATGATGCCCTGACCTTCCCATCATAGTTATTCTCCTCTTGATATATGTCTGTCGAGCTTCTCAATCATTCAGGTCACGGTTATCCCAGAGGTGCTTTTTCCAAAAGGCAACTGAACTCTCTTGGTGGGGAAATATTTATTGTTTGCTGCCCATTTTGTGTCTATTGACTCTGGGCATTGCACAACAGTCATTCAACACCAGTTAGATTGAAGAAGCTTCTTCGATGAGAAGCAAAAGAAACCCCTCTACCCCAAGAAAGTCCAGTTGCCTTTTGAAAAAAGTGACTTTGGGTCTCCTCTGGATACTTCTAGTTTTCAAAATCATTCCTAAAATGATTCAACAAGACACCAAGTCCTTTTTGTCTATACTGCTGGCCTGTATGGTCTCCCCTGCATCTTTCTATATATATAAAAGCGAAATGTCACTTACACATCATCACAAAATCTCCAGAACCGTAAAGCCTTCAAAATTGAAATTTGGCACGTATGTTCCTCTTTGCTTCTAGGTGCTCTCTAAGAAAGGATTTTTTGAAATGCTCATCAGAGCATTAGTATTCCATATATTATTATTATTAAACAGAAGCAGCAGAGAGGAGTTTCAGCTTCAGTTTCACAGCACCAAGCAGCTTTAGTATAGAACAGTTGAGCTAAGCCACACCCAGGCTCCTTACTGTCTCCTTGCTCACAGAGAAAATACTGTTTCAGTTTCCAAACAGCCCTCAACACTCTCACACTGACAGGCTGCTAGCCAGTTGAATACTGATGGATGCTGGTAGGCAGAGGCAGAATTTTCCCCCCTTATTTTCCTCCCCCAAAACTAAGCCCGACTACATAGTTTTGTAGCGAATCATGGGTATGAAGCTAATACACCATATTTGTACTTTTGAGGGTTTTCCCCCGTTCTTGTTCAGTTATTCTGCATTGTTTTTCTATTGAATTTCATCTTGCTGGTTTTTGCTTGTTGTTCAGCTTGTCATCATTCTCTGAATCTTGATACTGTCCACTAAGACAGGGGTCGCCAACCTTTTGGACCTCAGATCCCACCAAACTCATAATTTTAGATCCCAGAGACCACTAACCGGTTCTGTGGGTGGGCCTAATTTGTGGGTATGGCTTGGTGGTCATGTGACTGGCTGGACATGGCTTGTATGTAAATATTATAAATATTTATATAAATATTGAATTTTTTTTATAAAAAAGCAACTTTTACCCAAAATCTGGCAAAGTAGGCAGACTGAGTTGCTCACAGAATCACAGATTCATTCAGAGATCTATCTATCTGCCATTGGCTAGCTCAGTCTCTCAAATTTGCTTGCTTTGAGTCTGCACTGAATTTGCTTGAAAGCAAATTCAGTGCAGACTCCCTTCAACTCCCTTCAGTCCTAAGGGAGGTTTGGCTGTGCTGAGCCGAAGATCTAAAGACTAGCTAGAAAGCAAGAAATCCAACCATTTCCTAGCTAATCTAAATCTCCCGGCACAGCAGAACAGATGATGATCGGAAAAAGGAAAAATAGCAATTTAGCAGGCAAGTTTACTGGGTAAGGAGTGAGTGGGTGGGGAGGGTTCCTGCGCGTAGCCTTGTGTTTCTGCGCAGCCTGGATTAATTGCTTTGTGGTGGTGCCGTGCAGGTGAGATTTCTCTGCGGCCCACCAAAATTTTCTCATGGCCCACCACTGGGCTGTGGCCCACTTGTGGACGATCGCTGCTCTCAGATGCTTTGTTTTCCCTCATCTCTTTGTCATTGCATATTTGACATTTCTAGAAATCACTTGAATTTAATCTGAGAGAGTACCAGTACTTCATAAAAACTATTTGTGGATTAAGTTATTTCAAAATATTTATGGCAAATGGCAGAATATGTAAGGTCTAAGCCTAAATAAGAATATATGCCTAAGAGAAATTTGCTTATCGGCATCACATTTTTAAATAAATACTATTGGATTTACTTTACTATTGGATCTGTTCCTGTCATATCTCTTCTTATGCTCTTGTTTTCTCTATTTCTCACATTGAATAGGTAATTTATTTAATTTTCAATTCAGTGCAAAGAGTCAGATGGTTCTAATTTCAGACAATTGGATAAAGTTGTTATGATCTCATGTTACCATTTTATTCAAAATTGACAATGAGATAGGTACCATAAGTGAACTTAGTGATACATGCATCCAAAAGCTAAACATTTCCTCTGGTATTCTTTCTAGTGATTCATTTAATGCCAAGGATGTAGAATATATATATAGTTTTGCTACCTCTGCAAGTTTTATCATCTTCATCAGGCCTCCATTGAGGTTATTTCAGAGTCTTTTCATTTTTGTGCATTTAGTAGATTTGCAGATATACATACATACGTACTCTGTCTGTCTGTCTGTCTATCTGTCTATCTAACTATCGTGTGTGTGTGTGTGTGTGGTATATATATAGAAGAATATATATTTTATAGAAGAATATTTTAACAAGATAAAAATGCAAATATTAGAAAAGAAATAAAAATAAGGAAGAATAATAGGAAAAAAAGAAAAGAATATAAATATTATTTTATAATCTTTTCACAGTGGTATAAATGCCTTTATATTTTACCCTCTCTAAGATTACATCATACTTTCCTTTTTCTAATAAGCTATCCTTTCTCATTCTCGGTCCCATAAATCACAAGTTCATTTTTCTCTTTTTACAACAGAAAGGCCAGAAGGAATTTTCAGTCACTGATAAATGTAGTTATTGATTTTACTTTAATTAAGCAAGTTGTTTTGCCATCTCTGCAAGTTTTATAATCTTCATCAGACATTTTTCCACTGAGGTTATTTCAGAGTCTTTTTTGTGCATTTAGTAGACTTCCAGATACAATATAGTCCTACAGCTACATTGTTGAGGTTCCATGTCTGGTATAATTAAATTGAGCAAAGACACCTGCATTTCCCTAAAACAGATGTTGCCCTTAATCTGTAGGGCTAACTCAGGAAAAAAGGAATCTTGTTATGTATGAGAATCCTTTGATGGAGATCATTCAGAAAAGGCTACAAACATGTCCCACAGATTAGGTTAGGCTCTAATCTAAACAAACAGCATAGTTCAGTAGCTGTATGGCAATTAAGAATCATTTCAGGCAAGCTGTAATTACAATATTGTGTGTACCAGTAATTATTTTCTACTGCTATATATCGAACCTTATATAAAAACTAACAATAATGCTGATACCCTTTTGGAAAAGCTTCTCATTATGCTCAGATTTTTACCATTCTTTTCTACATCCTACAATACAGTAGGACTGTTCTTTTCCATGCTGAAATGTTTATTTGGTAATGCAAGCTAATGTTTTTATTTTGTGATGAATATTAGTAATATTACAAATTAAACCAAGAAAAGTTATATGTGTTCCAAGTGTTTCATACGCTATGAGTGCGATTGAATCTAAAGGTGAGAGAACGTTTATACTTAATCCCTTATAAGGACTTGCTCTCACATGTATAATCAATAAATATAAGTATCTGTAGAGTTATTACTGAGTTTGTAGTAAAAGTTTATAGGCAGAATTTTTGGAGTATCTAACTTCCACTGTTAGAACAAGCAAATAATCCTAGATGTCTTTTGAGTGATGACAAATTGAATTGAACCGTTTATTGTTATTTAGTAGCGATAAGATCATAATGGTGTTAAGATGAAGTCCTGAACAAAAGGCCAAAAAAAACAAACAAATGTTGAAGTCTGAATTCATTTACAGATTGAAAGTTAATGTCTGATTAATTTCACTTTTCTTTTTGCAGGTGCTATTCCGGCTAATTACCTTTGGCTTAAATGCTTTTACTTTACGTTATGTATCAAAAGAAATAATTGGTCTTGTGAATGTAAGGTAATAAATCATAATCATTTATAAAAACATGAAATATTAATGGTTCCAAGTTATAATAGCTTTGTCTCTAATTTCTTTCAGGAATAAATTTTGATAAATTACTTTACTTTTTGCTGCTTGGCATGATTCTGCAAGGAGATATTTTGAATTGTATGGATGAATCAATGTTGGCACTGATGTATAAATGCAAATTTGAGTTTGTGATTTAGCTTTTTGAATAAATGCCTTTTCCTCTAAATTATGTAAATATCTAGTGGTTTTGAAAATGCTATGTTTCCAAAGACACTCCTGATTTTAATAGGTATTCAGTATTCTGAGTGATTCTTGAAATGAAATAAATAAATTTTGCTGCTTCTTCATTATTTCAAAATGTGAAATATACTGGGTTTAATTGCATACTAGGTATTGTCAAATGTACTAGTTTTTCTATTTTCCCTTAATTCACAAACACCTTGTGTGAAAAATAACAGTCACATGTCCAAAATACATTTCTACCTTTAAAAGAGAGCTGTTATGTAACTTGATGCAGACTTAGTGATACTTTAATGCAGGGGTGTCAAACTGGCAACCCACAGGCCAGATGCATCATGTGCAGGCCACGCCCACCCCAGCTCTGCAAAGGCAGAAAACATCACGATATGTCATGTGACAGCAATGTGATACAAGTTTGACACCTGGGCTTTAATGTAATATTCTTTACCTATGGTTATTTTATAGCAAAATTACTGCTGAAAAAACACGACATTTAAAATTGTAACATGATTCATCAAAAGCAATAGAACTCTAGAAGAAACCTAAGAAAACCCTGAATAATATTTTCAATGTGCTATTGTTTTATGGTTTTCATTTTGTATATTTCTTGATTTTAATTTTTATTATGAAACCCTCAAGAAACTTATTTTCAGACAGGTGAAAAATAAGCAATGGGAGTACATAGGTAAATCTGTTGTATAAATTAATAAAATCATTTCTACTTTTCTTGATTCTATGTAATATACTCAGTGAGTTACAATTGTATACAAAATGGTAAAATATTGTAAGATCATATTTTTCTGAAATTAATAGTGTTACTAAGAAACTTAGCATAACATTTAAATATAACTTAGGGTCCAGAGAAAAGAAACTTATGCTAACATCTGGGGGTCATTACCAGGCATGAATATAGTTTCTAACTCTTAAATTCAGCAGAAATGAGATCTTCAATTCACAAAATATATGAAGCAAAGTAAAATAGAAAAACTTCATTGAAATTTTTGGTATCACCTCAGATTTTTAACAGCTAAATTTAAGAATTCTTTAAAAGCTATGTATTTATAAAAGGTTAATTTAAAGGTTGATTTAAAAAAGATTAAAAAGTAAGTATTTTGAAGCTTAAGTAATTTGACAATATATATTGGGGCAATTCATATTTCCTCTGTTAAAAAAGGTAGCAGATGGTAAATGTCTTATGAGCTTATTAAATTTCAAATGCCTGGTTTGTGTCTGGCACAACTTCCATAAAATTTTATGACTCTCCCCGGGTTGCATGTGAACCTGGCTGAGCGCTATTCACAATTGATAACCCCTAAGATAATCAAATTTCCTTTGGTATATATTATTGATAGTTAGAATACTGGTCGTTACATAGTTAATATGTAGCTATATTAACAATATAATGAAATTATTGTTAGTTGAAATTACCTTTTAAAAATGAAATTCCCTTCTTTTTTCTTTCCTTTTCTTCCCAAAATATTAGACTGACACTGCTTTATTCCACAATAGTTTTCTTAGCCAGAGAAGCATTCCGTAAAGCTTGTTTGAGTGGGAGCTCAAGGAGAAACTGGACCCAAACATTTAATCTATTATGGCTAACGTAAGTTTAAGTAACTCATTTGAAAATTTTAGTTACTTTCTTCTGCAGTTCTTCTGCAATTTTGCTTGCATTTCTGAAAAGTAGTAGAGGAGCTTGTTTTTGAAGTCATGATTGCATTGAGAAACAGGCAGTCGAGTTCCTCAAGATAGGATATGAAATTGTTAAGGGACTTAATACTTACCTAAATTACATCTTAGTTTATCTGTAATAGTTTCATTCTAATTGCATATATTAATTACCTAATATTTAATTAGGTAATTTAATTTACCTAATTCTAATTTAATTCTAATTGCATATATTAATTACCACATCTCCATAAACCACATTTGAGAAATTGAGAAAAGCTGCTATTTAGCTCTTGCATGAGAATGATTTTCTTTGGAATAATTCTTGTCCTATTGCCTGGGGGAAAAAAAAAGCAATCTCCAATTTTCAATACTAATGTTCCAAAGTTGAATAAACTTTGGAAAGTCAATGCTGATGGGAAAGACTGGATCTTTTATATAATACTCTGCTTTAGTCAAAGAAACGTAAGTGCCTTGGCTTTTTTAGTGAGTGAAGGAGCAAATAAAAGCACTCTGTGTGTGTGTGTTTGTCTGTGTGTATCCACATTCGTGCATATTTGCATGTACCACCTGCAAAATTTGCTGTTTGTGCTTGCTGTTCCTTTTTTGCTTTTTGTATTAGGCTATTAGTTTTCAAAGAGCATTCCTACCCTGAAGCACTGGATGAAAAGTATAGATTTCTCAAATAAATATGTATGCAAAAACCTTATAAGTTATAATGCATTCCAAGAAATATTGTAATTAAACTACAGAAATAATTTATTTCTGCAGATGTAGGAAAAAACAGATGCATGTACTTTTGAAGTTTATTGTATTTACTCTTGTTTGCTAAAACTGGAAGCAGATTTTTTTCTAAGAATTCACACTGAAGACGGGAAAAAAAAGAGCAAGTTATTAATTTTGGCTTTATGGTTTATCTTCTTAACTTTTGTAGAATTCCTTTGGGCGTATGTTGGTGTGTATTCCTGGGCTGGATCTGGCTAGACATACTTGAAGTTCCTAGTGAAAATGCAGTTCCTTACTATAATTTTGGAGTACTTGCTTTTTGTCTTTCCGCTGTGATTGAACTTCTGGGTGAACCTTTTTGGGTTTTAGCTCAAATACATTTACTTGTCCGGCTAAAGGTTTGTGAAACTATATGAAATTGTATTTCTTGCTTCTTTTAAAATTATAGTAATGAACAGATGTCTGAAGTTAAAAATCTTTAGTCTGACATTTTCTTATAGGTAAAATATTGATTTACTGATTAAGCTAAATACATTAACTTAAATGCATTAGTCATTGATGAAATAAATAAATCATCATCTACTACTACTACTACTACTACTACTACTACTACTAATAATAATAATAATCTGAATATCTGGCTGACTGTGAATGAACCCTACATAATACAAAGATACAAAATAATGACAAAGTATCAAGGTCTGAAAGTTGAAGGATTATGGCATAAACTGGCAATGATGGTCCTAGTGATTATTGCACATTGGGTACCATACCCCAAAGCCTTGGACAATACTTAAAAAATCTGCATATTGATAAATTCTCCAAATGTCAGATACAAAAAGCCATACTGCTTTGATCTGCACGTATAGATTATGACAGCCTAGGTTTTTGGGAAGAACTTGATGCGCATGAAGGCCAACATCAGCTAAAGAACCGGCAACTTTGATTTCACATTGAGTTCACAGTATATAATAATAATACCACCTTTTATTTTTGTACAGTTCAAAGCAATGTACATAATTCTTCTGTTTCTTATTTTCCTCACAGCAATAACACTGAAATGTGTTGGGCTGAGAAAGTTACACACTAGTCTCATGCTAGAATTCATAGTCTCTTGGTTTCTAGTCAGCATCTTAACCATTACACTAGAATGGCTAAGCACAAGTGGTGGAAGGGCTGTTGCATTGGCAAAATGAGGTTTACATAGAGGTACTCTTACAAAAGCCACACCTGCATAACCATGAAGTGCACTAAGTACCTTTTCAGCTCTGGCAATTGTTTTTATTATTTTTCTTTCCCTTTCAAAGCTGATGGTGGTGTTGTTTACAATAGAGAGCCATCATTGCAGAGCTGGAAACATTTGGGATTATAAGATTTCTTCCATAGTATTGCTTTACCTATTAATCATTGGGTGATGAACTCAACTACATTGAGTTCATTGAAATCAATAGGATTTTAATCCTGATAACTAGCTGATTTTCCTGAAACAAAGCAAGAATAATTTAACTGGGATTCAATTCATTGTTTTTGACACAAAGGATATGGACACCCAAACAACTGAAAATGTCATTCTAAAGAAAAATTGTACTTTGAGAAGTTTCTGCTCTTGTAGAAAGTATTCATGGCTTTTCAGAGCTGCATATTTGTAGAAAAGTTTCAGTATAAGAATTCTGGATTGCATGCTTCTTGAATCTGACACATAAGTATTAGGAAGTTGTGTTTTTTATAAGATCTTTGTATGTTCTTTACAGGTGATTGCTGAGAGTTTGTCAATCCTTTGCAAATGTGTTTTGACAGTTCTTCTAGTAGTTTTGTATCCACACTGGGGGCTCTATATCTTTTCTTTGGCTCAGGTACAATTTTCTCCCTGCTTTATTACCATTTGTTGGATCTATCATATGAATTGGTTGTAGAAACCGGCATGTTTTTCTTAAGTCACATCACAGTAATGGTGTTCACCAGCAAATATATTTATATCCCTGTGCACTCTGGACACATATAACTTTTAATTTAGCATGATGGATAACTGGTAAAGATGGAAAGCTAGCATATGCTTGTGTCTTATGCAGAAGTGCCAGTGTTACTCTGCCAAGGAGGTGAGATGAACATAAGGGGTGGGTTTGTCTTGAAAATAATTCAGCATTAAATTTCCTACTGGTAGCATTCCCCTCATCATCTTAAATTTCTTGGCCCAAGTTAAGGTGAGTGCTCACAAATATATCTGTACAAACTGAAAATTGAGGCTGAACGATTCCCCTTAGAGAAAAGTCATACTGCTTGCATCCTGTGGCCCTTGGCAGCTGCCTCACCATGTTGATCCTTATGCTGGATCCGAGTGGATGTAATTGCATAACCTTTGAAAGTTGCTGACATTCTCTTTTATTGCTGTTCATATAAGAATGTTGTTGCATTGTCATGTTGACAATAAAACCAATATGAATTATTTTTCCTTTGCAGCTTTTGTACACTACCATTCTAGTATCATGTTATATAATATATTTCATGAAATTTTTGGGTTCTCCTGAAGCAAACAAAAAATCATTTCCTATTACTAGAATGGTTTCTTTTTTACCTGCTTTGGGAAAAAATGAGGTAAGTTCAACAACTTTTTAAAAATATCAGATAATTTCTTGGCACAAGATGTTTGTTGTTGTTCATGAGTAACCAAATTGTCCTAATAAATTCTTAGATTAAGTATCATAGATGTATCAGTGAACTGTTAATCAATTTTAGTTTCACAGTCATTTTTCAGGTTTCAGTTGGTTACATTTTTGAATTTATATTTTATTGTTTGAAAAAAAATAAACATATAATACTTTAGATCCTGTGTGCACATTTTTGTTACATAGTAAGATCATTTGGATATTGGGTATTCCATATTAGTAAAAAAAAAAAATCAGTACCTGAAATGGGCTGAGACATTTTTGCTCATAGGCTTTTTGTGAGAGCTAATTAGGATACGTAAACAAAGGATTTCCGAAATAATAATACTGCTATAAAAACAATATTTTATCAAGGAAACCTAACAGAATCTTGCAGAATCAAGCTGTATTTCCTCCTCCTTCAGTAATATAGGAAGGCATTTACCTTATTCATTTCCGAATGTTATTTGCATATTCTGGACATAAAAAAATGTTTTGGCCCATTTGCCTAGGTAACATTTCCTGCAAATTCCTGTCAAGGGCATCTTTCTTATTCTCTGTATCATGTGGCATATATCTGTGCATCGAAGTTTTTCTATACTTTTAAGTATAGAGATGTAAATTATTGAGCAAAAATATTTTAACCATTTTGATATTAGATTTAAACTTCATCTAATGGATTTTTATTTATGTAAGCAAATCCTTAGATCCAGAGATGATTGTACCTTTTAGAAATAATAAATATGCTATATTGTACAGAAAATGGCTTTTGCTAATACCTGTGCTAGCTCAATGATCCTGTATGGAGATCATTTTTCAGAAAAGTGTTAGAAAGCCTATAGACCTCTAGCCTATAGACAGTTTATTTTACTATGAAAATATATAGTTAATTCTAATACAAAATCACATGAGTAAGCTAAAATGACTGCATTTTAATTTGGTGAACAGTTTCAGATATTATAATAAAAGACGTTTCTATGAGCTGCATATTAAAATGTAGCTATAAAAATGAAGAGTCTTCCACATTAACACTTGTGGAAAATATAACAGAAACTGGATCAGGAACAGGGAAATATATGTATGTATTTTTTATTTAATGAAATAGTCTTAATGAAATAATCTTTGTTTCAGAGGTTGTGTCAGGTAATATTTTGACTGGTATATCAGAGTACAGTAAATTGAATCAAGCTTAAACCTCAGTTATTTCCTAGATATGTCCATGGAGTTTTCTTGGAAGTGGTATAGAGGTACTTGCCGTTACTTTCGTCCAGGATTTCTTTTTAGCCTTCTTAGCCCTGGTGTTCCAGAGAGGCCTGTAGTTGAAGTATTAACTGGAGCCAAGTCTGCTGTTTTTAAACCCAGACAAAATGGTAAAGGGTATTTCATTATACCTAATTATTTATATATTTCAGGATATTATTAATTGGAATGAAGCAAGGCTGACTTGGAGCTTCTTTAAGCAGTCATTCCTAAAACAGGTTTTAACAGAGGGTGAGTATGAAATCTTCTTAAATTTCTTGAATTTTTTATTCTCAGTCCCCTTCTGCCAACAAGAGCAATAAGAATTTCATGATTGACATTTCTGCATTTTTACAATTGTTGGAATGGGTTTAGGTTAAAGAGCAATGAGAAGTAACACACTTGTTAGGAATGTAAGTCACCTAACAGCCATTTGGGTTGGAAAATATATAAACCAGGATAGACATTTTAATACTGCCTCTTTAAGGGAATGCTAAAAGTGTAATTGGGTGTGGTTTCTCAAATGGCCATAAGATGGAGCCAGAAACCTGGATTGTTTAGTCTTAGTCTCAGAAGAGAGTCTCAGTGTGTCTCTCTGTTTTCCTTCTGTTGGAGAGTATTGCCGTTCCTCCATTTTTCCTAATTGACTCTTATTGATGGATTTGATGTAAGTCTGTTACTGAACTGTTTTTTGACACTGGACTTTGTTATTGGATTACCCCTGGATTGAAAACTGACTGATTTACCTGTGAATGACTTTGGGCTGCTTATCTTGAACTTTGCTTAAACCTTTATGGGAAGTAAAAACCTACATTTACTGTACAGTGTATCTGTGTGCTATGTGTGTATTATTCAAACGCTACTCTCAATACATCTCCCTGTATGCACTCATTCTCCTAATGGGGAATTACCTCAACACTGGTTATGGACCCAGGCCATACAAGGCTCAGATAACTGGGAGTTGGTATGAATACACAGTACTGTATACAGACAGCTATTTACTGTTTAATTGTGGGTTACTATGCTGGTAATGATGGCACAAGACACTTCAACAAGTCTATCACCGATAACCAGGTTGGATGGAATAAACTATGTTTCCTGGTCTATGAAGTGCAATCTACTTCTGCGTGGAGAAGGGTTATGGAATGTAGTTCAAGACCCACCGGATGTAAATGCTTGGGATCCAGAAAATGAGGACGATGCCAAGAAACTTGCTGACTTTAAACAGAACAACGAGCAAGTTCTTTATATAATTGTACTAACATTGAGTGACCAGCAGCTAGTCCATATTCGTGGAGAAGAGTCTGATGCTAGGTGTTGGGAGAATTTGAAGAGGATTTATGTTCATGACAGTGTAGGTGCACACATACATCTTACACGTAAACTGTTTAGAGCACGTTTTCTGAAAGGTGGAGATATGTTGGCTCATTTGAACTTCATGAAAAGAACTTTTCAAGAGCTACATGAAAAAGAACTGATATTTTCAGAGCTGCATCAAGTTTACATCATTCTTTCCTCATTGGATGAAAGTTATGATGTTTATGTATCTTCACTGGAAGACCTGCCCAGAGATAAACTGACATTGACTGACATAACTGGAAGATTGTTAGAAGAAGCAAGAAGACGGCTGGATAGAGATCAATTGAGGAAGGAACAACCACAAGAAGAGGATTTGTGTTTAACTGCCTATACTGTTAGGAAATGTTTTTCTTGTGGGGCTAGGGGACATATAGCTAGATTCTGTAAGAAAGGAAAACAACAGAATACTGGTAATCACCAGAAGGCCAAGAAGAATGTTAGTTTAGCTATGTCTAGCAGTTCAGCTGTAAACCATGATTTGTGGGTTGTTGATAGTGGAGCATCGCAATGCATTACTAAAGATAGAAAAAGGTTTGTAAAGAGGTCCACGAGTAAATAACACATATCATTGGCAAATGGATGGAAGATCAAAGCTTCAGGTGAAGGTACTGCATATTGTTCTTGTATAAACGAACATTTAACTATGTTATATGTACCTAAACTGAAATTTAATTTATTATCAATAAGGGCTTTAGTAAATCTTGGTTATGTAGTAACCTTTAGGGGAGATAACTGTATAATAGAGAAAGAGGGTAAAAGTGTTACTGCTACTTTAGAGAATGATTTATATATGATACATGATGACCAGTTGGAGATGGCTAGCTCAGTTTACAGCAATGTTAAGCCACATGATGAATGTTATACATTTACTACATAGACATCTGGGGCGTCTAATTTCAAAATGCTCAAACAAACTGTTGAATTGTCAGAGGGAGTAAAATTGAAATCCTATAGCAAGTATTTAAACTGTAATTCTTGTAGCCAGGAGAAAAGCAAGGCTACTCCTGCAAACAGAGTTAATGGGTTTAAGACCAAAGAACCTGTAGAGGTTGTTTTTGCTGACATAACTGGTCCTAAGAAACCAAGTTTAGGAGGTGCCTGCTATATTTTGAGTATTATGGCCCATTACTCACGATACGCTTTCTGCTATCTTATGAAAAACAAAACAGAAACATTCCAACATTTCTTTAACTGGCTAAGGTTTGCTGAGAGAAAATGAAAAGAAAAGTAATTACTTTAGTTACTGAAAATGGGACTGAGTTTGTTAACAAAAGATTCCAAACAATGTTGAAATTGGCTAGTGTTGAGCATAAATGTTCTGCACCTTACAGACCACAACATAACACATTTGTAGAATGAAGAGGGCAAACATTACAAGCCATGGCTCGCACTATGTTATCTGATTCAGGTTTGCCTGAAACACTGTGGGGTGAAGTCATAATGTGTAGTAATCATGTTTTAAACAATGTAGTTAATACAACAACTGGAGAATTGCCATTCACCTGTTGGCATGGCAGAAAACCAAATTTAAGTTACCTACACACATTTGGAGCTCCAGCATGGGTGCGTGTTCCCTCACAAGTAAGACTGAAAGGGCAACATAGAGCTAAGAAGTTATTTTTTGTGGATTATAAGGCCAACCATAGATTGTTTAGATTCTGGGATCAAGACACAGCTCATGTTTATTGTAGTGCTAGTGCAAAATTTCTTGAGCATGTTGGGTGGGATAAACTGGAACAGGAATCCAGCAATGATATCATTATTGACACCCAAATAGTCCCTAAAGATAAAATAAGTAAACCACAAATAGTCATTAAAGAGGAAGCACAGGAGGAAGTAGGAGAAAAGGCACTAGAGGAGGTAGAAGAACAGGACCAGGTGGCACAGGAAAGTCCACCAGTTAGCCCTGTGTTACCAAGACATTCAACCCGACTAACATGACCACCTGATAAATTTCAGACTAGTGTTGTATGCCAAGTAAATACAGTTCTAAGTAATTATAATGAACTAAAACTGTATCCTGCTAAGGATCAGGCTGCTTGGCAGAAAGCAATGGATAAGAAACTGGAATCTTTAAAAAGACTGGAGGTATATGAAAATGTTAAGTTACCACCAGGTAAACATGCCATAGGATGTAAATGGATATATAAGCTAAAGACAGGTGTAGATGGGTGTAGCGCATACAGAGAGACGTAGTGAGAGAAGTGTTTGAATAGTACACACACAGCACACAGGTACACTGTACAGTAAATGTAGGTTTTTACTTCCAGAAACATTTAAGCAAAGTTCAAAATAAGCAGTCCAAAGTCATTCACAGGTAAATCAATCAGTTTTTAGTCCAGGGATAATCCAGTAAGAAAGTCCAGTGTCAAAAACAGTTCAATATCAGACTTACATCAAATCCAAGAATATCAGTCAATTAGGAGGAATGGCCATACTCTCCAACAGAAGGAAAAAGAGACTCACTGAGGCACACTCTCTTCTGAGACTAAGACTAAACAACCCAGGTTTCTGGCTCCATCTTATGGCCATTTGAGAAACCACACCTAATTACAATTTTAGCATTCCCTTAAAGCAGGTGTGGGCAAACTTTTTGGCTCAGGGGCCTCATTGACTTTTAAAATTTGACGGACGGGCCGCCACCTGGTGTCAAAATGCCTGTCATTACAAGTCAGAATCAAATGAATGCAATCATTCAATCATTCACATCAAACCTTAATTCTGTACCAATCTTCAGCGGGCCGGATTAAAAAGACCAACGGGCCGGATGTGGCCCCCAGGCCTTAGTTTGCCCACCCCTGCCTTAAAGAGACAGTATTAAAATGTCTATCCTGGTTTATATATTTCCAATCCAAGTAGCTGTTAGGTGATTCATATTCCTAACAGTAACCTTTATTGCCACTTCTTTTTATGTGAATACACTGTGTGTTTGGATTCAAAGAAAATTTCTTAAGCAGAGTGGACCACTGGCTTCTTAAGCCTGAGCAGGATCACCCTTTTAGAAAGAAATACTAATTGGAAATATTAATTCTATAGGTGAAAGATATGTGATGACTTTCCTGAATGTATTAAATTTTGGAGACCAAGGTAGGAAAGACTTTTAAACAAAATTTATATGCATGGAAGAAATATATGTTAAAATCTAAAAATAAATTTTTGACTTTTGGTTGATACATATAATAAAGGTTTGAGGTACATCAGCTAATCTGATTATGAGGCTAAGATTACAAAGAGTTAAAGTGATCAGAGGTGTGCAGTAATTCTCTGAAACTCTCCAAAGCAGACGTGGTATTCAGCAGATTTTGACCAGTTCTGGAGAACCTGTAGTGCAAATTTTGAGTAGTTTGGAGAAACTGGCAAATATCACCTCTGACTAGAGATTTTATAGTATCCTTCCCTTGCCACACCCACCAAGCCATGCCCACAGGACCAGTAGTAAAATTTTTTGAATCCCACCACTGCTCCAAAGTAACTATATTTTTCTCTCCGTAACAATATTCTAATATTAAAATGTGGAATTTAATTAATTAATTAATTGCTGCCCATTTGTATCCAATGACTCTGGGCAGCTTACAGCATGAAAAACATTTAAAAACATCAGTTATAAAACAACAGATAAAACATTATTGTCCAAGCAAAACAAATTTCAATACCAAATGACTTATTGATTAACAGAGGTGCCTAAGATTTACAGTATCACTTTTACCTTTTTGGACCTTGGAATTGAATTCCCCATTAGAATCCCTCTGGCAGAGGCATTTAGAAATGCCGTGCTCATTTGGACAGTCAAAAACCTCACATTGTTATAATGCTTTAGACTATCAGGCTATTGGTATTTCTGTGGAGAAATCAGAATTGTAAGGAGTCATATTCAATATGAATTTATGAATAGATTGTGGCAGTTTCTAATTGTCTCCTAGTGATGCCATATGTAAACTTCAGTCATGCAGTGAACTGATTCTAAGTGTATACTTTCTTTTAATGATAATGACATATCTGATTCCATGTTAATGAAAGAACGGAGTAATACCGTATATGTTGCATTGGATAAATTGAGACAGCTGCCTTTCTAACATAGCAATATTCTAACATTCTGGTCTTTATTTGTCAGTGAGTTCGCAGAGCATTGAATTATAAGGATTTAAATTTAACACATCTGGAAAACATCAGATTGAAGATTTCTACTATAGTTCCACGGATGTGAAAAAAAATCAAAGTCTTAATGTTTTTTAAATTCTGCGTTTTGAAAAGCGATAGTTTATTTTTCTTAGAATTGAAAATGATTTTCCACTTGTATGAAATAAATTTGCCACAGTAATAATTGGTCATTAGTGTGAAATGCAGTAGATTTCTCTGTTAGGTTGATTGTTGTTATAAAAATAAATTATTATATTATTTTAAAATTGTTGTAGAATTTATAATACTTTTAATCTTAATGTAATACTTAATGTAATACTATAATACTTTTAATCTTAATGTAATACTTATAATATTGTTAATCTTAATAGAAAAATGTTTTCAGATAGTAATTTATATTGTGAGCAGACATTAAGTTAATAATAAACATCTTTATTTTTCTCCTTGTTTCCAAAGGTGTATATGATATTATAAACAATCTTGGTTCTTTGACAGCTAGATTTATATTTTTACCAATAGAAGAGAGTTTTTATGTATACTTTGCTAAAGTTCTAGAACGTGGGAAAGATACTAAGTTGCAAAAACAGGTAAGTTTAGTCTTATTCATTCGTTAATTTAACATGCTATAGAAGTAAAAAAGATGAAAGTATTATTGATCAATGTTTTCTAAAGCATTAATGCATGTTTTCACTAGAAAGAGAGAGGAAAACTGATGGATGTATAATTAAGCATAGAATGGAGAATGTGTGTAGAATTTTTTTCTTCTCCTCATGATATATAGAACCTCTATATTATGAGAGAAAGCTATTTGGTGAAACTGAATGGTGAGAAAATGAGGACAGGTAAAAGGAAGGAATATATTTGTTGGTGTTTTACAAATTGCTCTCTGAAGTTAATAGAAGGTCTAAAAGGCTCAGGGATAAGTGTATGGATGATATGGCCTCAGAGGCAACTTCCTCCACCATTAGTCTCTGGGAACAGCAACTGGAGGATAATGAACTCTTCCCAGAAAAATTTATTTGTCTGATTTCTAAACACAGTGCTGGTCTTCTGTCCTTCCAAGAGGCCTCTTTATATGTTAATTAGTCCTATGGTACTTTAGAAAAAATCTTGATGTATCATGGCTTTCAAAAAATGTTAAAGGAAACACATTGTCCTATAAGCGATGTGTGTGTAAATAAAGGTATATGTACAGAAAACACACGCGCGCGCGCACACACACACACATTTTAAAATTATATTAGAATTTGTGATTGAAAAGCAGGATGTTATTTTCAATTAATTTCACTATAGTAAATTATTTTCGGCGAAAGAACTCAGGATTGGATTGCTAGCTCTTGAATAAGTATGAATATACATTTCATATAAGAATTTGTGAGTAAAATGCAAAATATTATGTAGAAGTAATATTACATAATTTACCTACAGACCTCTTTATTGTTGGGGAAAATTGAAGGAGAGTGCTAGGTGTGCTGTTTTGAATCCTGGAGAAAAGATCAAAATCAGTGGTTCCCAAAGTGGGCGCTACCGCTCCCTGGGGGGCAGTGGATGCCTTAGGGGGGCGCTGAGAGGCAAGGGGGCTGACAGGGGGCTGCTAAGAAACAGCAGTGGGGTGCTGGAGATGAATGGCAGGGAACAATTCAGAGGTGAGAAAAAATCCCGCTGACACTGCATTTGAGGCAAGGCCCCGCAGGATCATCCCATTGACTTGCACGCTCTGGTGCAAGGAGCTCCGCCCCGAACGCAGCATTGGGAAAGGAGAGCAAAGCCAGAGTGGCTTTGCTCTCCTTTTCAAACATCCCGCCGCTGCCATGTTCCACCCCATTGAGCCCCTTGCACCGGAGTCACCTGCCCAAGCAAGTCCGAACGGAGTGGTGCACGAAGTCAATGGGGTGAGCCTGAGAGAGGAAAAGAGAGAGGAAAGAGAGAGAGAAAGAGAGAAGGAAGAAGAGAAAGAGAAAAGGGAAAGAAAGAAAAAGGGACAAAGAAAGAGGGGGATGGAAGGAAGGGACAGAAAGAAAAGAAATAAAGAAAAAGGGACAAAGAAAGAGTGGGGGATGGAAGGAAAGGACAGAAAGAAAAAGAAATAAAGAAGGAGGGAGGGAGGAGAAAGATAATGAGATATCTATTCTAGTCCAATCACCTGCTCCAGCAGGGTTAGAAGGTAAGTGTGTGTGTGTGTGTTCTTGTAATTTACCAGTACATTTTGGTTTTGCCTTCTTCAGAATTGGCACTGTAATACATTGGGGAAAATTATTTTTTTAGGGTGGAGATCTGGTCCAATGAATTCTGTTTAAAGCGTCAACAAAATGTGAGAGCTTCCTGATAGTCTTGGTCATGTTTCGTCCACAAAACCTTTAATTAATAGAAGCCAAAGATGTTTCAATGTGCTGGCAAAGATGTTTCAATGTGGAAAAGGGCCTGTAAACTAGGCCTCATTTCAATCTGATGCATCAGGTCTCTCTCGGTCTCTCTCTCTCTCTCTCTTCCCCTCCCTCTCTCCCCCTCCCCCCTCCATGCCCCCTTTCTTTGTCCCTTTTTCTTTCTTTCCCTTTTCTCTTTCTTTTCTTCCTTCTCTCTTTCTCTCTTTTCTCTCTCTCTCTTTCCCTCTCCCAGGCTCACCCCATTGATTTGGTGCACCACTCCACTTGAACTTGCTTGGGCAGGTCCCTCCAGTGCAGTGGGCTCAATGGGGTGGACCTGTGGGGCCGGCGCCTAGAACGCGGCAAAGCCAGAGGTCAGTAATTTTTGCTGCAAAGAATCACAAAAGCTTCTGGGTTGTGCACAAGAAGAGACACACATGTCAATGCAATTCAGCAACATAAAATAAAAAAATACAAATAAAACAAATCAACAAGATCAGCAAAGCATCTCTGAGTAGATTTTATTCACTACTAGAATCTAATCAGAAATGCTTTGCCAATTCCAATGACCTGCTCCAGCAGGGCTGGAAGGGAGTTTGTGTATATGTGTGTGCATGGCTGTCAAAACTCCCAAAACAGGACAAGTAGTTCTGGGAAGGCCAGTCATAAATTAGAACACTTGCTAAGCAACCGGCCATTAAGTGAGAACCACTTGTATTTGGTTTGCCAGTCACCAAACCACGCTCACCCAGTCACGTGAACAGCAAGCCATGCCACCAGTCACGTGACCAGCAAGCCACGCTCACCCAGTCATGTGACCAGCAAGCCACATCCAATCACATTACCAGCAAACCACACTCTCAAATTAGGCCACACCCACAGAAATTTGAATCCCGCCTCTGGGTGGGGGGCATTGAGGATGAGTTTGTAGCACCAAGGGGGCGGTGGACTGAAAAAGTTTGGGAACCATTGATCTAAATCTAAAACAAATAAACAGTGCAAGATAATTAAGGCTTGGAAATCTAGGCCGTGGAAATCTGGAATCATTAAATGGCATCAAAGAGAATTTTCACTTGCAGTCATCTCGATTTTTGCAGCCTAGATAGAGTCAGGCCAAGTTAGTATCATGTTTATTTTAAGATCTGACTGATTTGCTGTAAAAGTTAAAAAAAGGTTTGATACAGTTTACAGGAGTGTTGAATGTTCTTGTTTCACCTATACCGCATTTGAAGGTAGCTGTCAAATAATTTTATTTTCCCATAGCAGATTTCCCAGTGGAATTAAGGTATTTTTAATGAAGCAATTTCTACAGATCAATTTATGTCAATTAAGTTTCAGCATATTATGTACATTTAAATGTGTCCACTATCAAACATATTATATAAAAAGGCTCTTTGCTTGATTATAATAACTTCACTGTGATTAAAAACTAAACATAGCACATTATAAAGATGCCAAGAGTTTCCTATTGCCCTATGAATTCAGTACAAATAAATAAATCAATAAAATCCAATTATTCTGTGTATACATTTAGCATAATAATCTTGGAACAGTTTTGTTGTTTAAATAAATATATAATTCCTTTTTAGGATGAAATTTCGATGGCAGCTACTGTATTAGAATCGCTGTTGAAACTAGTGCTTTTGATTGGCTTAACCATTACAGTATTTGGTTTTGCCTATTCGCAGTTGGCACTGGATGTTTATGGAGGATCAATGCTCAGTTCAGGATCAGGTAATATTTACTTTCTGAAAAGCACTTTCATAAATGTAAAATTATATTTTGAAAGCCTCTTTGGTAGACTTTTATCTCTGGAAAAGGTACGGAAGATTTGGAAGAACTGATGCATAGCAATCATATTATAACTAAATAGTTGTCTAGATTTTTTGCTGCTCAGCCTTAGAATAACTACATGTTGTTAGGACTGTGTAGTGACCTGATTTCAAAGGAGAGAAATTAGTCAGTGTGTGCTTAGACATACATGTTACACTTATCTGCACTTCTTTAAATCAAGCGCCTGTTTTCAACAAGATCGAAAAAGATGCCCATTATTTCCCTTCAGATCTGGTTTTTCGAATAGACATGCTTTGTGCATCTGGATTTTTACTGTAGTAATGAAACATTACACATACAGACAAAGAGATTGCAGTGCTATGAATACTGGGATGGTTTTCTAGGTGCCGCATTGAGAAATGGAATATCTTCCTTTGATTGAAAGATTGGTGATCATTTTGTAACCAAACTCTATATAGAGGAAGTAGGAAGGGAAATTATGCCATGAGAACCAGTGTTATATTGTGAGTGGTTTACTTCTGTACTCAGTTCATCTTTTATAATTGGCGAAGGAAACTTCTGCTCTCTCCCTCTAGTAAAGCTTCTAGCTCCCTTCACCATTGGGCGCACTGATTAAAGTTGCACAGGGAACAGTACCCCAGTAACGTTTGGTGGGCTGCAGGTTCCATTCTCATAATTTAAGATACAGCAGCAACTTTTCCCTGAGATTCGACAGAGTGGCTAGAATTGAAATATCTTGTCAACTTATCTATTTATTTGGTTTGACTTCCTGTGTGGTAGCTTCATACACTCTACATACATTTATCTAGCTTTTAATGGATGATCCCATTTTTAATATAAAATTAATTTTGGAATAAGCAGAATAGATTAATCAATTGTCTTTTGGCATCTGCCGCTTTGGTGAAAAAAGATGTATAATTCTGTTAATGGAATGCACATGAGAAGCAGCCATCTGGCTTGCAATAGGCTTTTTGAGCTGGTAAAGCTTTGTTTAACATTGATAGAGACCAAGAAAGCAGCAACCCAGATCTGTCTTATCAGTGAAATGGATAGCATATATTTTAATAACTAAATAAAAATAAAATAAACTGCATCCAGAGTTTAACCCATATTCAAACCTAATTATAGATACCATTTCTTATACAGTACTATGTTTGCTTTGAAACTGAATACTTGAATTAAACTGAAAATTTAATTTGCTAGATTATACTCTAAGATGATTGTGTTTTAATAATTTACCGTATATACTCGAGTATAAGTTGACCTGAATATAAGCCGAGGCACCTAATTTTGCCTCAGAAAACTGGGAAAACTTATTGACTCGAGTATAAGCCGAGTTTTTCAGCACATTTTTTGTGGTGAAAAAAACCCCCTCGGCTTATACTCAAGTGAGATTCCCTCTGAAAAAAAAAATGGTGTGGAGCTCCGGATCTGGGCAGCCGCTTCCCTGCTTCCGTGTTTCCTTTGCAACTTGTAAGCATGGGGGTAATCGGAAGCAGAAAAGTTCTTGCATGAGGATATATTGTTTTTTCTTTATTTAACTGTTTTTTGGGGGGGAAAAGACCCACCATCATGTGAGAATGCTCAGACACGAAATCTATCCGCCTGAAAATAAGTGTGTGTGTGTGTGGGGGATTTTAACAGAGGGAAGACATAGGGAGAAGGCAAAAGCGACGGAAGATCCTTCAGCCCTAGCTGCTTTCAGTCCGCTCAGAAGGAGGAGGGGAGGAGGAGGTGGTGGCAGCGGCTCGCGTTGTTTTCTGAGATCGCAGAAAACAACGCGAGCTGAGGTGGCTTCGTTTCCTCAGCCCTAGCTGCTTTCAGTCCGCTCGGGAGGAGGAGGGGGAGGAGGAGGTGGCCTCCTCCTCCCCCTCCTCCTCCCAAGCAGACTGAAAGCAGCTAGGGCTGAAGGATCTTCCGTCACTTTTGCCTTCTCCCTATGTCTTCCCTCTGTTAAAATCCCCCCACACGCACTTATTTTCAGGCGGATAGATTTCGTGTCTGAGCATTCTCACATGATGGTGGGATTCCCCCCCCTAAAAACAGTTAAATAAAGAAAAAACTATATCCTCATGCAAGAACTTTTCTGCTTCCGATTAACCCCATGCTTACAAGTTGCAAAGGAAACACGGAAGCAGGAAAGCGGCTGCCCAGCTCCGGAGCTCCACACCATTTTTTTTTCAGAGGGAATCTGACTCGAGTATAAGCCGAGGGGTTTTTTTTCAGCACAAAAAATGTGCTGAAAAACTCGGCTTATACTCGAGTATATACGGTATTAATATTTTTATTTGCATTTATGTACAAAAATTAAGGTTATGTGTGATTGATTTATTCGTCTCAATGTTAATCAGGTCCAGCTCTCCTTCGTTGGTATAGTTTGTATGTCTTGCTGCTTGCTGTTAATGGGATAACAGAATGTTTTACATTTGCTTCAATGTCTAAAGAAGAAGTGGACAGGTAATGTAAAATTGCAACAATTACCAAAAGTTAATTTTAATTCTATCTTCTCTGTAATTTAGAATGAGAAAGAGAATACAGTTTGTAGAACCTCAGAATAAGCAATAGCTTATTAAATTTGATAGCTATTCTCCCATGGATAGGAAAAAAATATTCATTTTCATGAAGAACTATTCATGAACTGAAAGATCTACTTGGGAAGTTTACTGATTGCTGGATAAGTAGTTTATGTACATAACTCACCTAGTCCCTGAAGTCCCTACATATAGAATCAATTGGAGTTGAAGGATTTATTTTAATTAAGCTTCTCAAAGTCAATTTAGGGGTGTCCCCACTGAATGAAATTACACACCTGGGGTATTTTGAGGGTTGAGGGTGAATATGATTCTGGGTATAAATCTTCTTTTCTTACATTCATTCCATTAGTTCTACCACTTAGGCATAGAAGATATACATGAGTACAATTCTCAAAAAGGATAATGATTTTTGAATTATTTATACTAGATTGTTTTCTAATAAAGGTAGTCCTTGACTTATGACCACAATTGAGCCAAAAACATCCATTGCTAAGCAAGACAGTTAAGTGAGTTCTACCCCCATTTTAACCATCTTTCTTGCCACAATTGCAAAATGAATCACTGCAGTTGTTAAGTTAATAATACGGTTGTTAAGTGAATCTGGCTTCCCCATTGACTTTGCTTGTCAGAAAGTTGGAAAAGGTGACCACATGACTCATGGGACACTGCAACCATCATAAATACATGCCGGTTGCCAATTTTGAGCATGTGACCATGGGGATGCAGCAATGGTTGTATGTATGGAAAAACAGTCATTAAGTCATTTTTTTAGTGCCATTGTAACTTCAAACAGCCACTAAATGAATGGTTGTAAGTCGAGAGCTACCTGTATATTAAAGGACTGAATTTCAAGTTTGGGCAGAGGTATTTATTGAATTGGTTTGAATCTTAGCTATGTGAGGTCCTAATAAATAAAACTGATTTCTTGGTGCAGTTCCTAATGCATATTTATTTGCCTACAGCATAAACCAACTCACCTAATTATAACATAATTTATTAACTGATCCTTGTTATGTATAACAATATTTGATACAGACCGATTTTTCAAGAAGAGTTGAGAACATTGTAGTTGTAAACTTTTAATTAATTTGTTTGTGCCTGATCTGTATTTGGAGCAGGGAAAATAGTCAGTGAACAAAGGCTTTCAGAGTTGTTCAGGCCATAGAACCTTAGTTAAAATCTTTGAACCTGAAGGCGCCTGATGACGCAGTGGTTAGAATGCAGTATTGCATTCTACAACTCCCACCGCCAGGAGTTCAATCCTGACCAGTTCAAGGTTGACTCAGCTTTCCATCCTTCTGAGGTCAATAAAATGAGGAGCCAGATTGTGGGGACAAATGCTGACATTTGTTAAGCACCCAGAGAGTGCTGTAAAACACTATGGAGAGATATATAAGTGCTATTGCTAACCTCTTGATACCTAATTCTGAAAGTTAGCTGACCCACCCTGCCCTTTCCACTAAATCTTAGAAAAATTGCCATGGGTGACCCAAACTACATTCAAGTGATTTCCTTCCCCCTTTCCTCTCTATCATGGAACTCCATAAAGTATTCATGGAACATTAGAAAGCCTAAAGCAGCATTCTTCCTGTAACTTCCTATTTTGAACCCATATAGGGTCTTGCTAAGGGGCTTACTAACTGCAAAGTACAGCAAATTCACATTGCTTCTTCTAAGTTTCTAGTCGCTTTCTTTCTTTATTCTTGTCTTCTTTCCAGCAGTCTCTCTGTTGAGTTTAAAGTGACAGAACTTCTTATTTACTGCCTTCACTAAAAATTGGAATAAGTTCAGATATTGAAAATAACCCATGTGGAACTATATAGCACAATGAAACATCAGTGTAGAAAATTTTGTTATTATGTCACAAACTGTTTTATGATTATTTTTATGTCATAAAATGTTTTATAAAATTTCATAAAATTCCATGAAGGACATGGGTACCAGATTTTGAAGGTATTCTATAAGTTATTCTGTTTGTTTCAAAAAGTTTTACCCTATGTTGCACTGCTTTATCCAGTTAAAGGTTACCGGAAAAAAGAGCGTTAGTGGTATATGGATAGGCTTCTCTGCCATTTCCAGTCACCATTTAGCTGAACATTTTGTACATAGTAATAAACATATGGTTACTACTAGATATGGTCCATTATGTTTATGATATTCTTTTTCAGGGAAGATAAACACTTGACTCGCTTTTTAGCAGTCAGTGAACACCTAGCTGATTCATTTGGCTATAAGTTGCCATCCACATAGCTAAAATATTCTGATTTTCAAATATTCCTAGTGATCCCTCACTGAAGGTTTTTTTTTTTAAATCTGTATGGTATCTTAAGCAACCTTTAAGCAGTCATATTATTCTGAGTGGCGCCAGAGGTGGTATTCAGCAGGTTCTGACCAATTCTGGAGAACCGGTAGCAGAAATTTTGAGTAGTTTGGAGAACTGGCAAATAACACCTCTGACTGGAGATTTTACAGTATCCTTCCTGCCGTGCCCTCCAAGCCACGCCCACAGAACCGGTAGTAAAAATTTTTGAATCCCACCACTGAGTGGCGCATTATGTAAATTTACAGGGATACAATAAAATGCTAGTCCACATCAATGGTTCATAAAATATCATCAGGAACTTACTGATAGTCTTTTTAAATCTATAAAGTGCAAAGTCTTAAAACTAAGCATAGCCATTACTATTTACCTCTCCTCCAGTTCACTGGTGTCAAAACAAACTAGATGCTATCTTTGGCCTCAGTGAGCAAACTCATTCTCCTTGATCCTGGGTGCCCTGACCTTTATTGATACTGATCTTTAAACCTTGTATTCACTCCACAGACTCCGCTAGAAACAGAACAATTATTCCTGAAATTATAAGTTTCAGTAAAAGGGTTAGCCTTTAAATACAGTGCAGCACCTTCTTGGGAAAATAAACTTCATCATAAAGGTCTGCCTTAAGTCTTTCTGTTATGGCTGTGTTTCAGTACTATGACTGGCATAATAATAGCTGCCAGCTTTCTGTTAACTTTACTCTGACACCACTATATGTTGTGGAGGTCTTGTACATAAACAAATCAAACTTTGCTTCTAAACTTTATAAGTAACGCTTGTTCAGTGAACCTATTCTGTTTTTCTTCTGCTGAAAAATTCAGATGCTACATATGCTAACTTTATTGACTAAGGATATGTGTCTTACATATTTCAGTCAAATTTAACTTCATAGAAAATTTATCCCATTGAAAATAAATGATTAATTAAATGTTTTAACATTTTGAATTACATATTTAAGATAACATAGGCTTCTCTGCAAATTCCTGTCACTGTGCAGCTTCCATAATTTTGTTTTAAATTGACTTTTGATCAAGTAAAATACATTTCAGAGAGTTGGAAGATATGATTAATTGTAAATTCCCAGTAAAGCTATCCTCTAGTGTGAAAGGCAAAAACCTTGAAGATGTTCATTTTAGCATTCTAGTTCAAGATCAGAATAATCTTGAATTAATCCTCATTTTCATGAATTTATCATTAATTCCCACTTCCCATGCATGGGAGTCTTGCATTAAAGAACCTCCTTAGATAGCATATGAGTATGAAGAAAGCAGAGACATTGAAATATGAAAAGGATATTTAAGATACTATTTATACTATTTGATCAGTGGCAGAGCAAAACAGTTCTCTATACATAAAGGTATAGAGAGAAAAGATTAAATGTTTCATTTTAAATTGACATAAATAGATGTCACTGTTTATAAGCCCATAGCCATATAACAGAAATATTAATATTGATAGGCAGTCCTTTAAAAACACAATTGCCATTCAGTGTATATTTGTGGCTGTGTTTGGACTATCTACCTTTTAGTTCAGTTTTTAGACTTCATCTTTTCATTAGAGCCTTTGTTTTTTTGAAAATGGTTGCTTGTGTTTTGTTATTTATATCATCCTTATATCCATCTCATTTTATATCATCTGGTTTGGACATAATGCCAAATTACTCTTTAGTATGACATACACAAACTTTCTCTCTCTGTGGAAGTATGTCAAGAGATCAGACATTTTAAATCTCTTGTTTAATTTACATACTTTTATCATTATAGCTAAGTCCAAAACTAATGTTTATCTTTGTAATAATAGTTAAGGGACTAAGTCAGGATCAGCAGCTGTGGGAGGTAATTGGTTTTCTCTGCCATGGCTATATAGCTCAGTTTTCTATACTTTGGATGTAATGATAAACTGTGCTTAAATTGAATACAGGCCTGAATGCTTTTAATCTTTCTGAGGCTGCAACAAAAGATAGAAAAGAGAGAAGAAAAAAACATAAAAAGCTCATCATTTAGTACTGAGTCTCAGTGAGGTTTGTACCTATAATAAGACATTTTCTTAATGTTCAAAGAAGTGCATATATTGTATCTCATGCCTACTTATAATGTGGATCTAGTCTGTGTCTCCTTCATTATGAAATAATCATTTTAAATGTAATTTTTTCCACAATAGTCCATAGAAAATGTATTTTTCTTCTTTTAAGTTTTTGGAAGATGGGATGATAGATCGGAGAAAAATGATAAGGCAATGTTTTCTTCTGACCTTTTCTGGAATAATGCTGCTCTTAGATTAGATTAATAAATTGTATGGAATAGGACTGAACTAAAGGATGGTCAATTTACAAAAGTCAGACATTCAGAAAATGAGCCAAACACAAATTCAACACTTGAATAAAATTTCATGGTTTAATTTACTTCCTGAGTTGGTTTCAAGGAAGGGAACTGGAACTCACTACTCCATATATCTACATTATAAGATATTTCAGCAGTGATCTACTGGTTTTTAAGGTTCCTAGCATATGGAACGAGTTAGAGGTTTACTTAAAGTAGCCTAAAAATAAATTGCTAAGATGCTGAAATGTGTAAAAAGTTTTCACTTACTTCATTTTTGTTTTTAGGTATAACTTTGTCATGCTGGCTTTGTCCTTTGCATTTTTGTGCATGTCCTATTTCTTGACCTCTTGGCTAGGGAGCATAGGATTTGTCCTTGCCAACTGCTTCAATATGGGGATCCGAATTTTACACAGCCTCCACTACATCTATAGATACTTTGGATGCAGCCCTTACAGACCTTTGAAGGGCCTTCTTATTTCACGATTCCTGGTTGTTGTTTATCTCATCAGTGGGATGAGCACTAAGGTTTCAGAGGTGGGTGATATTTTTTTCTTCCAACTTTGTTGTATTTGGACAAAGCAGGTGACTAAACTAGCAGTTCCTTCTACCATTTGGAGAGTTACTTTATGAAGTGCCCCTTTAATCCAACTATGTCAAAATAGCAGTTTCTGAATTTGTCAACTTAAAGACATTTTCTGGTTTTTTGAGCCTAAAGAAAAAAAAAGTATTGTTAAAGAGAAAAAAAGTATTGTTAAATACTAGTCGTAATAAGCACAGTGAAGAAATGACATTGTTGTTCCGTATATACAGATCATACTTGCAAATAAATCTGAATGAATGTGGTGTCTGTTTCCATATACTTAGTGTGTCTGCATCTACTTATGAAATAGGTGGCACGTGGTTCGTGGTTTTTATTCCATAAATGGTTCAGAAATAATGCCAATAAGAGATCAATTCCCTTTTTAAAAATGATTTTAAAGGTTTGAATAAAGCTCTTTATCTGATTATCATGCTGCTGGTGTCTCTAGCAGCTTCCATTCTGCTAGAGTTGTGAATGGTGGTTAGAGTGCAGTACTGCAGGTTACTTCTGCTAACTGCCGGCTGATACAATTTGGTTGTTCAAATCTCACCAGGCTTAAGGTTGACTCAGTCTTCCATCCTTCCAAGCTGGGTAAAATGACGACACAAATTGTTGGGGGAAATATGCTGACTTTGTAAAAATCACTTTGAGAGGGCTGTAAACGGGGGTGGGGGGTGGGGTTTCTGCCAGTTCAGGTGAACCAGTGGTTCCGTTGATCATTGGGCCCACCTATCCGCCCCTGCTCTTTCCTGTGGTTTGTTTCTTTGTTTTGGAGCACAGCTGATTCGTGCGGCAGAGCGGTTTTGCTGTGCCTCAGCTGTTTTCCTCATAATGAGCTTTTTTAAATGGTGTGCATGTGCACAAAGCGTGTGTTTGGCGCGCATGTGCGTGCACCGAACCACTTGTTACATCGGTTGAATAGCACCACTGGCTGTAAAGCACTGTAAAGTAGTATATAAGTTTAAGTACTATTGCTATTGCTATAGGGTAGGGCAATTTTGCAAGAAAATGATTAAGAAACAGGTTATAGTCTGTAGGCAATACCTTTGAATCAAAAGCATTAACCTGGTGGTAAATTAGGTTTGCTTTCTTTGTCATAGTAATTTTAGTTTCTTTTCTTTATAGGTGTTTCTTTGCTGTGATAAAGGGTGGATGGCCAGATTAATTCATGTCACAGTTGGAGCACTTTGCCTTACAGCAACTCTCACGACAATATTTTTCACAGAGACAAACCTAATCCATTTTGTTAGAATGCATATTTTATCAAGATATTCCAAAGAACAATTAAAATAATGTTAAGTATGTATTTGAGCCAGTATGTGTGAGGGGAACCTTTACCTTTAAATATGTATTTTATATAGGGATTTGTATTTACATGGAAATTATTATACAAAGATGTATAAAGATGTAATGTTTCTGATAATTATCCGATTGAAATATTGAAACAGACATACCACAGAATCCTCTTTTAATGACCAGTCATTAAGTGAGGATTCCTGTATGTCTGTTTCAATATTATCACTTAGCAACTGTTCAAAATTACAATGGTCCTCCCCAGAACTATATGCAACCTGATTTTGAAGTTCAGATGACTGTACTCTCCTTTGGGTTCATGGAAGAGTATTTTGGGTTCTTGACAACCAGCTCACAATTATGGCTGATTACTACATACTTGTTCTGACCAAGGCTTTCTGAGAGAAAGTTCCCCAAAACCTTTTTTAAAAATTATTTTAACGACTGTGAATTATGTGCATTCACAGCCCATAATGAGTCCCAAACAGTTTATGAATAGTTCAACAGAAGTCTGCCACAGTCTTTCGGGATAAGACTGATAAGCACCCACCTTTACCTCCCTTGAAATGCTGCCAACGACTAAATTGCCAATTAGCTGTACAAGGCCAAATGGAGCACAAAGTCAACACAGAGCTTCAGATTTTAAACCGACCAGAACGAACAAAGTTGCTTCCTGCAAAGGCTTATTTCCCTTTGCTCCTCCTTTATGTCTTACGGGAGAGGCCAATCATCTCCAAGCCTTACTCCTGAGTTGCCCCTTTTGTCTTAACTGTTCTTGCCTTCTGGCAGCTCTGTGCAGGCGCGCACTGGGAACAGGCTCCCCTTGTTCCTCTGCCTCACTGATGTCAGATTCTGGAGGCTCCTGAGTTAGCACATAACTCACAGATGGCCCTGGCCCCATTTCTGTATCAGACGGAGATCTTTCGTCCAAGTCCTCCCCAGACTCCAGAACTGGCCCATGTTCTTCCCCACTGTCCGACTCTACTGCCAGCTCCACAGGCCATTGGTGGACCACAACAATACTGCAGTCATTTGACTGCAATTTTTGACATTTCTACTCCTGGTTTCCAGCAGGAAAAAAAAAAAAAGCCCGTTGGGAAAAACACATTCATTTTACAACTGGCATTAACTTAATAAATATGGTGTTTCCTTAAAAGGTTCTAAAAACAATCATGGTCACATGGTGATTCTCTAAACTACTACCATCACTTAACTACCATAATTCCAGACTCAATTACATTAGTAAGTTGAGGACTAACTGCATTGGTGTCAAAATTAGGTTTTGAGCCTGAAACATTTTAAACTGACAATTTTGCCAGGTGCCAGCATTTTTTGTGAATGGAGTTGTTTTTTAAATGTATTTTATGCTGAAGGTTACTGCTTCAGAGGGTTCTGGTTGTTTGGAATGCCTTATAATGATATACATGGAGGAATTTAAGTGTGAGCCAGTGTGGTGTAGTGCGTAATGTGCTAGACTAGGAATGAAGAGATTCAGGTCCTAGTGTCCTCTCTTAGGAATAAAAGCCAGCTGAGTGATTTTGAGCCAGTCATTTCTTTCACTGTTTAGACTGGGAAGTAAAAAAAAATCTACGCACACCAGACCAGTGAATTAAAATATGGTCCATAACCTTCAGTGAAGAGGATTTCATTCTGTGAGGACTGATGAATTGATTTGAGCCGATTATAAAAACATGGGGGAAATATACTTTTTTCTGTCTGATGAAAACTGTTTTTTTAGTGGGAAGGGATAACCAAATATTATTCAGGAGTTAAAATAGTAATTTAACTGCACTGCTAAAGTAAGCATAAAGCAAGCATATGGGATTTTTTTTTCTTAAAAAATCATAATTGACTGTCAGGGATTTTACTTAATTTTTATACCATACTTAAATATTGCAAATGCAAATATTAATACATTTTATAAATATTTGAAATGTAACATCAAATGTTATAGCAATTCTATTTAAAAAATAATAATTCACATGAAACTATGCTATAACATTTAAGGGGAATAAGGAAAATTATTTGCAAATTTAGAACAAAAGCCACATTAATGTGTTAAAAAATAAATATGGAAAGACTAATATACTAATATAACTGTAGCATGGAAAGCATCAGTAACATAACATTTAATGTTATGATTATCTAGCATCAGTAAGTAAAGCACAAATTTAAGTGTTTCTATAAAACATGCAAGTAATATGTTTCCTTCGATTTCAGATATCACATTTCAGTAGCAAAGCTCAGGTACAGCATGCTTTGTTAAAGTCACGGGCAATTATGTATCACTAAATCACTTGGTCTAAATATTGTTAATCTTTATCACGTACAAGCTTCAAGAAACCTTGGAAGAGACATTCGATTTGTTTTCTTGAGTAAAAAGTGAGTGGCATTTTCAGAAGCAATGGGAGTAGCTAATCTTCCCAGGTCATATCCCTCCTGAGAGCCATAAATGCTCTACAATCTCTTGCACAGGCTACTCAGCTATTCCACAGCGTCCTTAGTTCATAGTTGTAACTTTAAGGGGTGCGAGGACTTCTAGGCTCAGAAGGATCTAGTAAGCATAGTTTTCTCTCTGCCCCTCTTTGCTGGCAATGCAGAAGTACTGGATCATAGCCAAGTTTTGTATTTGTTATTTATAAATTTAATTCCAGCGTTCTGAGTTCATAACTGTTACATTAAAATGATGAGCTTTTAATGAACTGAAGGTCTTTTCATTCCTGAAAAAATGTTTCCATGTTCCTGTGAAAGATTGGCATGCACAGGATGTATTGAATCAGAGGTTGGTAGAAATATTGGCTTCTGTTTCCTACTATAGAATATATTGCAGCTGCTGCCTGCTAAATTTATGACTGTCCTTTAAACAGCCTCCCAAAGGAGAGGATCTCTCCAACCGTGTTTGATTTTAATGTCCATCATTCTTCAGAATCTATCTACGTGATACATTTAAGGGTGCATGGGACTGAGATTGAGTTTATAAGGATTAGGAAAAAGTATTTCAGATTAGTTCTCTTTTAATTTGATAATCTGTGTTTGGAATTGCAATATTTTAGTAATATGTTAATAACTACTAAAAACATAAATCCTCAACATTCTAGTGAATAACCTCCTTTGGATGTGGTAGGAATGCTATGGTATTGCTTTTACAATTATGCTTTGTAGTGTGATCTAAGCAAGGCATTAAATGTTATTAAAATGAGATTCCTAATTTCAATAGTTGCGATTATTATAGTGTTGGTGGGAGATAAGCACAGACTAATATGGATTAGAAACAAATATTCAAGTGTAAAAAAGGCTATAGATTGGACATATGCATTCTTGAAATTGCAGAAGTAAAAGATAAAGGCTTACATAACCAGCAAGCATTTTTGAATATATTGTCAATTAGATGAAACAGTCTTTTATCTGTATGCACAAGTCTGTCTGTCTGTCTGTCTGACAAATAGGTTTTATATAATTGTTTTACAAAATATATTTTAATAAAGCTAATTAAAGATGAATAATAGCAGAAATATGTTTTGTGAAATTCAGAAGGGAGGCAGTTGCTGATATCAAATTGCATCTTCTCTCATTTACTTAATGGCAATCAGTTCTACTATGTCATTTTAGTTTTCAAATAAAAAGCCATGGAATATCAGGAGAATGCAGCAATATTGAACCAAATTGATCCATTAATGAAATACTATTTTAATAGTATATTAAGAAGCTTGGAGGGTAGACTCCAGGTTAATATCTCAATTGTAGTTATTATTTCCAACCATTCTTCTATTAACTAAGTTGAATATCATGGATTGCAGAGAGTAGTTTAGTTCATTTTCTGTAAATTCATAAAAATTCTGGCAGATTTCAGAAAAAAAGAAGAAAGCTTATTGGAATTTTAATCCACTTTGCACTCACAGCTTGTGCATTCAGCTTGATGCCAAACATTTTCTCTTCTGAAAATGTAATTATTCTTTTGAATGTGCTGGTTTTATTCCTCTGGTGGCCTGCATCTAGCAAAGTCTTCTTGAGGAGAGGAGCCCATTAAATTCAACAACCTGTGTAAGGCTGAGTTAGGCCAGGAGCAGAACAGGTGCTCAAGAGCTAATATCTAATTACAAGAACAGGAAGCAGTTATATAGAAAAAAAAAAGCTAAAAGCATCAGCACAAGAAACAGTGGACTTATTTACCCAGGTGAGAACAGTCAGCTTAATTTGTGGAAAATAATGGCCTCCATTGTAGCTGAAGAAAATAGATACTGAAAACCTGCATTTCAGACACGCATTTGCAAATAAATAGGTTTATTTCTCACTGAACTAGTTAAAAGTACCAAGGAACTGAGACGTCAGCAGATCTGTATACAACTGTCTGCACTGATCCTGAGTTCACCAAAGACAGAACACAAAGTGGTCCCCGCTTTCTTTTCTTCCTCACACTTACTCTGGAGAGTTGATACTTTGCTCTAGAAAGAAATATTCCTTGTGAACTGACTGATTTTACTTTCCAGGGATTTTCTCATTTCCCCCCCTTCTTGTCAATCACAGCTAAGGCATGTTCATGCAACAACAAAGTCCTATATGAAACAATACACAATTTTCTGTGAACTGTAACAAGAACTTTGAAAATTCATCTTAGCCTTTCTCAGATGTCTTAATCTACATCTTTAGATATCTTAAAACTACATTTTTTAAAAGACTCCCCTACCTCCTAGCTGGTTTGCCTCGATGAAGAACGTGAATAAATGTCATCTTGGTAGTTGTTTGCTGCCTTCTCTCATTTCCTCTGCCACGTGCAAAAGCTAGAAACAGCTTCTAACCAGAGTCTACCTGGATGCAGACATATCTTCCTGATGTTGCAAGCACTAGAATTTCTCATGCTGGCTGCGGATTTCAAGGAGTTGAAGTCCAGAAGTCATAAAATTGCTGAGGTTGAGAAACTGAGGATTCTTGGAGTGCTGGGAGAAAATATTGAAGTCAAACAAAACCAATAAGGCAGCCCATATTGGAAATGAGCAAAATATTAATGGAAG